GAAAACTAGGAAAAAGGAGTACAATTCAATAGTCCTATGTTTCAGTAGTGCATTACGCAGCGAAAAAGTTTAGGATAAGACTGCATAGCGGATACGAAAACGCGTATCTCAAGTAACATACGGTGCATTTTTTGACTAATGGTAAAAAAATCTTACTCTAATATTATTAATTGCTTGCTTGTTTCTGGTTGGCGGTGATGCTTCTTCGTAATAATGCGTATAAATAACGTGACCTTATTAAAAAAAAAAGTGACACGCTTCTGGGACCGGTGCGCTTCTGGACGGTTAAATAATAATCTAAAATAAGTAAAAAAAAAAGACAAAAAAAGAAAGAAGAAAGCGGAAGTCGTAGAAGACGGTGAACATAGGAACGTTGAAAATTTTCCCACTGTGATATGCATTTAGCCCCAAAGAGTTATAGACTTACATTAGTATAATTTTACTGTTACTATCTCATATTTGCCATATCCAAAGTGAACGTGAGACAAATACTAAATACACTACTGAATAATACTGTGATACGAGATACATTGTTGTTGTTCAAACTAGGGAAGTGGTATTTAAGTGACGCGGCCAGAAGCGCACCGTGTTTGATATTTGTTGAGTCTCTGCGCAAATTAGCGCGTAAATTTTTTGTTAAAAATTTTGTATCATATCTCGCGAGAGAGAAAAAAATGGGCTTTCGATCTGAGGATTATTGTTATCGGGTTTTTCCCTCGTTTCTCGCACGAGACCACGGAAGCACATACCTCTTTCACACACATTGCTAAAAAGTACAGCGTGGATGAACTCTCAGGTCTTCGAAACAAATTTGAACTAAGTGCTTAACTATTCACCTGTTCTTTGCAGCTGTCCCTGATAATCTACGGATCGAAAGCTGCTAACGTAAATTCTATTTCAATAGACAGTGTTCCGAAAAGGATATATAAGTAAACTATATTCTTTAAGCAATCTGCATTTTGCTCCTGATGAAAATAAAATTAATACTACAAATTGAAGTCAAATTTTTGACGAGTTAGGCATGAAAATTCAATTTTATCATTAGTTGTCAAGAGAAATTTATTTGATAAATCGTGAGAATTAGTTCTTGATAGGTTTTTGAAAAGCAAGAGAAATCAGTTTTATATTTATCAAAAGGCATATGTATTTTAAGATTATATATAGCGATTAAAGCACGTACTAATTTTCTAGATAGAGATTTTAAGCAAAATTGCGTTTGCAACTCGGCAAAAGAAACCGTAATATTATGCATAAGTTATTTTTAAGAATGATATTTTAAAAGAAGATTCACACGAACGTTTATTAATCTCGGTTGCGCAGCGTTCCGCAGAGATTTTTGTATAAATTATAATTTATCGGGAGTGAAGTCAGTATCTTCTACGCTGGACTATATTCCTACTTGAACTTCGTGTTTTGGCGAGCATTCGCGCGCTTAGAGAAATTATTTATACACTTACTGCACACACCTCGTGTCTAAATCGTTCAGTGTTAGGAGAGACAAAAAAATCTAGCGCATTTTTTTACGGGAAAAACTTCTTACGCGTGAAGGCAAAACTTCTTTCAGAAACGAAATGTCTAGTTACTAAACAAGAGTTTAAGAGTATATACGCTACGAACATATATAGAGTAGCTCAATGTATTCATTGGCATTAGCAAGTAGGCATTACAAGTATTTGTATATGTACGGGAGCGTATTGCGATCGGAGAGGATTCCTCGCACTTCGTCTAAGCTCTTTTTTACAGACGCGTTTACAAGAGTCGACCAATTTAATTCTAAAATCTCTCAATCTCTCTGATAGCAATCTTATTATAGTACAAGCTCCGACCTCCAATTTAATCGCATAGCGTTACGCGAAAATTATATTAATTATAATATATTAAATTTAGCTGTAATATCGAATAATCGAGAGTCGCGAGATTCGAGAAGTAAATCTAAAATCGGAATCCTTTCCGCTCGCAGTACATGCAGATATATGTATTCATTAATACTACTATTATAAGAATATATACGTCCGAAATATGATATAGACTGGCATACTGGAGGAAGAAAACTGAAAAGAAAAGCAAAAAAAAAAAGAGGAGAGAAGGAGAGCAGTACAGCCAGAATCTGAAGAGAATCACTTCTCCATGCTGTTATTTCACAGTCCATTGATTTCAGGATGTGCTGTATAGTTAAACAAGAAGAAAGAAACAATATGTTGAATGTGTTCATGCTAGAAGAAAAAAAAAGAAGAAAATATTTACCACGTAAGGGAAGAAAGAGAGAAGAAAATAGGAAATTCCGCATTATGTAGTTATTAAAAATGGGAAACAAAGGGATGTAACGGGAGATCGAGAGACACTCGTCGGGTCCACCGCGGCACCAAGTGCCACGTCACGGTCGCGCTACATCCTTGCACTTTGCGATATTGAAAGAGAGACAAATTTTTGGCTTCCTTGCCGAAGACGATTCTCCGAGGTTCCGGACTGACCATTGATTTCGACCAGGAAGCACGAACGATATTTATCCGATACTTGTAGTATTTTACGCGCCGCTGGACACGCATTATCAACCATCTCTCGGAGTAAATGTCGGTTGACCGCAAATCTGTATAGGATTAAGGACTGGAGGTACCACTCCGTTTCTATTAGTGGCATTTCAGTGTGTTAAGTAATTATTTAAAAAAAGAACCGCTAGCGATTATTGTTCAATTTGATTCCACACGTACTTCCAACTGTCGGAAGTTACATCTTGCCTCAATTGTCCAGATACATACGCGCAGATTTTTTTTTTTTTTTTTTTTTTTTCAAGAAGAAGTAATCCGGTATGCGCGGACGTGATTAATCAGCCGAAGGACTTCCATTATTTTTTTTAACGTTCTTTCAACGTTCTTTTTCGCATTTCTTGTCAGTCATATGCAGACTTACGCTTGACTAAGGTATACATAAGTACGAAATAGCGTTCAGGTTCCTTAGGATTATATACACGAGACAAAACTTATAATTCCATAATTAGTACATTGTCGCTTCAACGATCTAATAAGAAACTAGACAAAAAATGCTCAATGCCCGTTGTTCAAAGTTTTCGATGCAAATGCCAAAAATATATATATATAAAAAAAGAGAAAAGAGCGTAATCGAAGAACGGAACGATATTCAATTCTACATGTACAAACCGCAATGAAATACCTCGTTACTTATTCTCAGTGTAAAATAGCAAAAGCGAATTGTACTAACTCTGCGAGTTACGTAAAAAAAAAAAGAAAGAAAAAAGAAATTGTCCTTCTGGTTCGTGATTCACGCACTGAATGCCTATCTTTTGGCCTTATCTTTTTACATACGAAAATCCTGTAAAAGCGAAAGAATCGATTCACAGACAAACAATACCGTTCACTCACTGCTACCTGTTCGATGGTTTTTTACGTTTCGTGGATATCTGAGGTTTTGAGATTTTTAAGAGATTTCCCGTTCAGTTCTCGGTACGCACACTGCGATCTCGTCAAAACCCTATGCCTTTATCGCAAGCGTTAGTCAAAATTTGTGTCATTGCGGCCAGTATGCGTATCTCTTCGCGCTGTGAAAGGGATCAGTGTGTAATGAGAGATAAATCTTTGGAAAATCTTAAAGCCTTTTCTTCAGATTTCCACGCAGTAATCGCAGCGCCCGAAATTGTATATTGCTGCGAATTGATTTCTCAACGTTTTTTTTTTTTCGTTTAAGGATAGTATTATTACACGTAGATTACATTCGTAAAGCGATATATTACTCAGTAATTTATGGTACATCGGAATCTGCGGAAATAAAAAAAAAAAAAGAATTGTCGCGTATACACTAGCTGCGTGAGAAAAGTTTCGAAACAGATCATGAATCGAAACTTTGAAAAAATTACTTTTCGTTTGTTATTCTCAATTTCTATCGTAAATTACGAAATTTCGATTTTAGATTTTATCAAAATTAATCTATGATCATTGAAATCCTTCGTAATATCTTATGTGTTTTCGGAGCAAAAACGAATATATATAATGGCTAAATCGTTTTCTTAATGATTGTTATGATTATTTTCAATTATTTATCAAATATATCTATTGAAGACATAATAATTCAAAATTATATATAAATAATTATATAAAATTATACATATTGTTAAAAATATATATCATTAAATATATGTTAATAATTAGTTATAAAATCAATTAATTGAATTTAGTAAAAATTAAGAATGTTTGCTTTTGTCTTTGCATCGTGAAAAATATTTGATAATTATATATTTTCATCTAATATTCTATCAGATTCTTATTTTATCATAATTCGAAATCGCGAAACTTTTCCAACGCAGTCAACAAATTTCCCACCCTGTCACATATATGCGTGAAAAACATCTGTCGCGCGTGATTTCGATATTATTTTTATACCTAAGTAAATTTGTGAATTGAAATACTGTGTAAGCCCAGCGATTAAATTGCTCTGAACAAATTAACATCGGAGTTTCACGAAGGAGCGAATTATGTGTTATTGTCATTATGTCTGTTAACGGTTGTATTTCGGTACACAATATAGGCGAATTAAGATATTATAGGGAATTGATTATGTCTATAAATTCCGTGCTGTTTTTGTTACGATATGAACTGGATCCTTAAATAAATTTTCTCAAAACAATCTCATTGTAATTACTTCAAATTAGAAAATAATTAACGAGTTATTAAGCTTCGATTTTAAGTGGAATCTTCTCTCTCTCTCTCTTATAATTTCACTTTTATAATTTATATACTTTTGTTTTCATCTAGACTAGAACATCTCGTATTAACGCTTTATAGAGAGAGTAGACATTTCTAAACTTCTCTACGTGGTCAAACGATATTTAAAGAATGTTTTAACACATTATAAATTAGGATATATTTTAAAAGTTCTTGAGGTCTTCAAATATTTGTATCGTCTATTTATGTGTATTGAGTCTCAAGGTCTGAAGGTAGATCACAGGATGCGGATGGTCGAATATTCCAGAAGATATATCCCGACGGAAGTTACGGTTTACTGAAAAAATCTTTATTCTTGCGTTACTGATACACATATTGCATTCAAGCGTAGACACGGCTACATTGTACATAGTACGATGTAATTCGCTGGCAGCAAGCCGTCTCCGCGCGCTTCATCCACTCTTGTTCAGTCATACATACACATACCCACAAATATATCTTCAACGCGCTTTGCTTCGCAAATAATCGATCGTTCGATTATTACACTTAGTGGGGAAACATACAAAACAACTCAAAATAAATTAACGATGCCGTGGAGTCATTATGCTTGTATCGCAGGGGGAGAAACGAGCGCAGTCGAAAACGTTGACGATGTCGAGAAATCTTCAAAATTCTAGAATTAAGATTCTAGAGAGTAATCTAAAATCTAACTTCTTTGAAATCTGACGACTTTTCGACATCACTCTAACAATTTCTCGCACTTCTCTCGAAATGTACGTAAGACTTATGAGACGAAGACTTGTATTCCCACTGTACATTTAGCTTCAAACCGCCTTCCTTAACCTAAGTCTTAAAGTTATAAGATAGTCTATACTACATATTATCTAAGTAAAACTTAGAACCAGACAGCCACTTTCAGCTAAACGTACGGCGAGAACATAATCTCGCGTGTATACCACGCTCAGCCTCTCATAATGTATAAACACTTCTGTAAAGTATTTGCTCGGAAGGCGAGTAATCAGTCTAAACCGCGAACCGAGATGAGCGGGTCGCTAGCTTGCAGTTAAAGTTCGTCCCTCATATCGTCGTCCTCGCCGCCAGTGGGTGGAACACCGCCACCTGCGCCTTGATAAAGCTTGGCAATGATTGGCTGAACGATATCGGTGAGCTCCTTCTTTTGCTTCTTATACTCTTCCGGCTCGGTGTCCTGATTATCCTCCAACCATTTGATCTTCTCGTCGATAGCCTCTTCCATAGTAGTTTTATCCGCCTCGCTCACTTTCGAGCCGAGTTTCTCCTTGTCGGCCAATTGGTTCTTCAATGAGTAAGCATACGATTCCAGATCGTTGCGCGCCTCTACACGCTCCTTCAGCTTCTTATCATCGTCGGCGAATTTCTCCGCGTCCTTGATCATCCGCTCGATGTCATCGGGCGTCAAGCGATTCTGATCATTCGTAATGACGATCTTCTCGCGATTGCCAGTGCCCTTGTCTTCAGCCGATACTTGCAGAATACCGTTGGCGTCGATTTCGAAGGTGACTTCGATTTGTGGTATGCCACGTGGCGCCGGTGGAATACCAGTCAGATCAAACTTGCCAAGCAGATGGTTATCCTTGGTCATAGGACGTTCACCCTCGTACACCTGAATCGTGACAGTGTGCTGGCTGTCAGACGCTGTAGAGAAAATCTGAGATTTCTTCGTCGGAATAACTGTGTTCCTACAAGAAATAAAGAATATCGTTTTATTTCAAAAACTCTTTTGAGTTTCAATCAGTCAAAATATTTATAGATTCAATAATATTTTTATGGATACTTTTTTTTTGTCGTGTTTACCTTGGAATGAGTTTGGTCATTACACCTCCAACAGTTTCGATACCCATGGTAAGAGGATTAACATCAAGAAGTACAATAGCATCGGTATCTTGTTCTCCAGAAAGTACACCAGCTTGTACAGCGGCACCGTAAGCGACAGCTTCATCAGGATTGATTCCTCGTGATGGTTCCTTGCCTCCGAAGAATTCTTTAACCAACTGTTGAACTTTCGGGATCCTAGTCGAGCCACCAACTAAAACAATCTCGTCCACATCCTTCTTGCTCATGTCAGAATCCTCCAAGACCTTTTGCACAGGTTTCAAAGTACTACGGAAAAGATCCATGTTCAGCTCTTCGAATTTGGCACGAGTCAACGTCTCGGAGAAGTCCTCGCCTTCAAAGAACGATTCAATCTCGATCCTGACCTGTAATATGAAAAAATATATTAGAAGATGATGAAATACAAATATGTAACAATTAATTGACATAAAAAAGGCAAGAGAATATTTCAAAGACGGAAATAGTAAGACTGTAAATAAAACATGTAAAAAAACATGTATATACCTGGTGACTAGCACTAAGTGCTCGTTTGGCTTTTTCGACTTCACGACGCAGTTTCTGTACAGCTCGGTTGTCTTTGCGGATATCCTTGCCCTTCTTCTTCTTATATAATTTGATAAAGTGATCCATCACACGCTGATCGAAATCTTCGCCTCCTAAATGAGTGTCGCCATTAGTGGCAACGACTTCAAATACACCATTATCGATAGTGAGCAAACTGACGTCAAAGGTGCCGCCACCCAGGTCAAACACCAGTACGTTTTTCTCGCCGTCTTTCTTGTCCAAACCATATGCAATTGCAGCGGCAGTCGGCTCGTTGATAATTCTCATTACAACCAAGCCAGAAATTGTTCCAGCATCCTTGGTGGCCTGTATCAAAAATAAAAAATTATGTTTAAGAATATATCAGAATTAATTTATTATGATTTTTTCAACAAAATACTTTGAGAAATTTAAACAAAATATTAATTTTTTTAAAACTATAATAATAATGAATACTTTTGGAATTTACAATCTTTTTTAAGTTCAAAGATAATACTAAAGTATCAAACATAGATCTCACCTGTCTTTGTGCATCATTGAAGTAAGCCGGCACAGTAACTACCGCATGAGTGACCTTCTTGCCAAGATAGGCCTCGGCGGTTTCCTTCATCTTGCCCAAAACCATAGCCGAGATTTCCTCTGGCGCGAATACCTTTTCGCCTTGGCTGGTGTCGACCTTAATGTGCGGTTTATTGTTTTTCTCAATAACCGGGAACGGGAAGAATTTCACATCGTGCTGCACAGTGGGATCTGACCACTCACGACCAATCAACCGTTTGGCGTCGAACACGGTGTTTTCTGGATTCGTCGTCAATTGATTCTTGGCAGCATCGCCGATGAGACGTTCGCCGTCATTGGTGAATGCCACGTAAGAAGGTGTGATTCGGTTACCCTGATCGTTGGCGATGATCTCCACTCGACCGTTCTTGTAAACTCCAACACTAAAAAATATATATACATCTTATTAATTTATTAATCATAAAAAAAGATGATAAACTATCGTCTTTCAATAGATTATTCTTAATAATACATCATCATGATAATGTATACTCACCAAGAATAAGTTGTACCCAGATCAATTCCTATTACTGTACCAATATCTTCCTTCTCCTTGTCCTCTTTCGCAATCGTGGCGACTGCTAGCAGTCCCACTATCAATAAACTTATGACTCTCTTCATATCGTTTTGTATGAACTATACCTAAATCAATAATCACAGGATTAATATACTAATAAGATTAAAATTTTTTTATTAAAAAGATGGAAGACTTTTTATAAAAATTAAAAACTATTATAAATTTTCAACCAATAGGAAATAAAGCCCAACGGTCAAAGCTGGATCTTTAGTGCTTAAATAATTCGGTATGTATACCAAATTCTACGTAGTATATAAATTCACACTGAATTATTTAAGCATTGTAGATCCAATTTCGATCATTATATGATCACTATGTATAGTTCAATAGGATTCTTATTGTTTATAAATTTTATTTATAAATACAATATGTTATTGTAATAATACATTAGTACAACACTTATTAAATTTTGACCATCTTTTTTATACTGAATGTTATATAAATATCTATTTTTATATATCAATTATTAATTATTAAACGTAATGAAGTAATTATCCATAAATTATATAATTATAATTTTAAAATATAATTTTGCACAGAACAATTTTTTCCTTTTCATCTATATTTATATAAAAATAAATTGATTATGAAGAGATAAATTTTGAAATAAACTACATGTAAAGCATTTTTGTCATTTTTTGCATAACGTATCATTGTAATCACATATTTAGATGTATGTCTTAAGATATCAGGTTTATATAGCTCTAGTAGTCAAGAGAGAACAATTTCCTAATTTCCATAAAATTTTTTGTAGTATTCGATTTATCCCGTGGAATAACATATTGGAAACCAATTAGTTTTCACGAGCATCATTAGTATTTATGAGTCAAATGACTTTCGGCTCGGTGAGCAAAGTCACACGTCATCTTTTCGAAGAGATAATTCCAGAAGTTCGACGCGCCGGAGAGACTAAAAAATCGCTTAATTATCGCGATTGTTGCAATTTAACAAACATCTTTTATCGCACAAGGCTGAGAAAGACGCGGGAATTTCCACGGGACTCGTAACGAACAAATCAAACGTGGCAGAAGGTTCTCTCGCTGCAGTCTCCAAACTGTATAAAAAAAAAAAGAAGGAAAGTATCGTATCGTCCGTTACTAAACGGTATGCGGGTAAAAAAACGCGAGAATACGAAGAGAGATTGTCGTCGTTTGCGAGCAACTAGTCCAGATTGACAGCGGGACGACAGTGGAACGCCCGAAATTCCCGGGGGAACAGAAATTCTGGTTCGAGGATCGAACTCCGGTTGTCGTCGGTGCCTTCGACAGAGCGGAACGTCTCGACGGCGACAGACGAGACTCGAAGGAAAATGCTTAGCTCGTGACATTCAGAATGAGAATTCACTCACCAGTTGGACGTGTGTCTGCTCGGTTTCGTTGAATGTTCCTCGCGCTCTTCACGAATACGTTTCACGATTCCGATTCTCTCTCGGCGAACGGTAAAACGACGACTGACATCGACACCGGAATCGGAGGCCGGGATATTAACGGGAGTGTTACGTCGTGGCCGACGCCGATTGGCGAGGACCGTCTGGTCTCAGCGGAAGGCGGTTGCGCTGATTCGCCGCCGCGTATACAGTTGGCCGCGCCTCGTTGGCCCACGTCATGACTGTCTGGCTCCGGAGTCTTCACGCGCCGCCGCGATTCGCGGCCGGCCGATTAGATATGGTAGGTGGAACACGTGGACGCCGTACCAGCGAGCGCCAGGGGTGAAACCATTGTACCCATAACCCCGCCCCGATGTCCTCTCTTTCACTCGGAACACCTCGAAAGTAAATATCTTCTTGCGTCATGATTTTGCGCCAACATTGGCTGTGTTCCAATATTCACTGTCAGTGCTGAAAATGTATAGTACACGTAACGTAGACTGTAGATTTTCAGCGCTGACAGTGAATTTTGGAACACAGTCTGACATTGCCGTATCGTGACGTTTGAAAAATTTTACTGATATTTTTAAACAGAATTTTTGTTGTACATTTAAAAATGGAAATTTAGAGTTCTGTGTGTGACAGTTTATAATAATAATTCTTAAATAATGAGTATGAATACAATTTTTGCATATCTTACACACACGTGTTACATTTTGTTAAGCATATGCTGTATATTACTAATTTCAAATTATTGACTTGTTGATGATTAATCTGTTTTAAGAAAACGGATGCAGCATCCGTTTCTTTTAAACATGTTATAAATATAAAATTCTTATTCGAAAGCGTTTTCAACAAAAGGAGAACTAATATTTTCGATGGAATATTTAACACATATCTTACCGACAAATAAAAAAATGATTTGAATAAACAATAATAAATGAGTTGAATAAGTAAAAAAGAATATTTTAAATAAAATAATATTTTTAATCATGCAAAGAAAGGAAGCCGGATCCATCTTAAATAAGAACAGTTGCATCAACAGTGGACGCGATTGTTTCATAAGTGGAATCACTTTTGTAGGGACATGAAAGATCGTCGCAAATCCTGATGCAAAGACCATAACAGAAATGCATTTGCCTTTTAACAGCATATTATTATTATCATCTGTTAATATTTATCTCAGCAATATAGAATAAATCAGTGTTATTTAAGGAAACAATGCAAAAGGATATACAAGATATCGCAGCCATTTTCATGTAGCTTTCATGAACGATATATTTTTTGCAAAATTATGTTAATTCACGTTAGAAACAATGTGGAATAAATACTTTTATTATATTGGAAAAAATGCTTTATTTATTGGATGGAGAAAAAAATATTTTCTATAATATAAGATTGAACAAGTTATTATCGGGTCGCTGTAATATTTCAGTAACTTCTCTGTTTTCCTAATTTTTACATAACTATTATTTATAAATGCTTCAATACAGGTTTTCATGAAATATTTGAAAAATTTTATTAAATTGTTAAATATATATTAATATTATTATAAAACAATCATAAAATACTGAACATATATATTCCTTAAAAATATTCTATAAATGTAATCATTTAATTTTTTAATAAAAAACTAAAGTTTTTTTATTTATACAATTATTATCTGGAGACACGGTAGTGTCTCGGTTTATTGTACGCAAATATCACGATGTAATACTAAATATTCAATATACTGGATAACATTAACAATTTTACATTTTACTAATAAAAAAAATAATTTTAAAGATAATTACAAAAGCTATAGGTAAAGCGTATAAAAGTTCGCTTTAGTTTTGTTTTATTATATCGTTTATCTATTGTGATGTACCGATATCTTTAATCTACTGATATATGCATATATGCATTTTCCAGTTATAATCTTCCAGTCGAAATAATAAAAATTTTTTATAAAATTATGGAAGTTTTGTATAAAGCTACATGGATGTAGAAAACAGATAACGGATGGAACTGGTTGCATCGTTCCGATCTGAGTTTGCACGCACCGTGGCACCATTTAGTCTAACGGTATCTATCCGTTACCTCAGGTAGTGAATTAAATGGAACGCCTTTACGCATAGTATTACATCATTATTCCACTAACACAGAGACGAATCTACGTGTAAATGATGAAACGTGATATCATCTCTAAACTAAGATTTAAAATAATTGACAAAATTTGTCAAATTTATACTTATTATTAGTTATCACTAAAATGTACTTAAATATATACAAATTAATTTTATATATGTTATCCTACACCTCCTTTTCTATAGTTAATTGATATTAATAATTAGTCTATAATTTTATGATGCAACTTCATGATAGCATAAGATAATGCAATGTGCAATGATCTTCTGTATAATTGTTTCTTCATGCTTGTAAAAAATAATTGTCCTAATGATGAATTAAAATTTTAAAAAATTAAGAATAATTTAAAGTGGAGATTAATGTTTAAGTATTTATGATAAAGAAACTCTCAAAAGTGACTTGGAACAGATAATATTTAAACATTAATTCGAATCTGAGCACCGTTTGCGTCTTGACGTTTTATACGAGGTTTCTACTTTCATATTAATATTCACGCATAATTATGATGGCGAAACTATTCTTGATTATTGATTCTCGCTAAACAACAACAATTGATAATTTATCTGCCTGACGTAGCATGATAATGGGTTTTTGACAATTATTGCAATTACCAAAAAAACTCTTGGAGATGACATCAGCGATTAATAAGTAAGATCACTCCACTGCGAATTGAAATGACAACATTCGATTAATAAGTAAGGCTACACTATTGCGAATACAACTATACATCTGGAAATGTTTCACACCGTATGTAACTTTCACTATTTGTAACTGAAGAAAGACCGGTGGTCCCGAAACGTATTATATTTTAATTTTTAATTTTGTATGTTGATTGAATAATTATTTAAATTTGTCATCTAACTTTAGCTCGATTACAGACCTTGTTTAATTTCTTATTGTCTTTACATTAATACGAGCACTTGTTTTATATATTTATTTATTAAACATTAATGATAGATTAAGTAGTAGAAGCCGAAAGTGATTTCAAGCAGTTTGATAGGATATAAATGTAGAAGGAATCGAAAGTATTTTGAAGTGATGTATCAAAGAAATCGAAAATTACTTGAAACAGATGAATGTTTATTATAAGTAATCTTTAGTGTTAATAATCTTTAGGAATTAGTTTTTAATTCACATCATGCAGTATTTGATCCATATCGTCGTTATTCAACAGATGTTTCCCGAGCTAAAGATTAGATTTGTTAGAAACACTTATGAATAGATGTAACATTAATAAACGGATTGAATATTTAATGACTGCTTTTCAATATTGTTCAGGAGTTTCCAAACGGGCATCATTGTATATTCAAATAAAGATTAAATGTTCATTTGTAATCTTCATTGAGAAAACTGAGACTATATATATAATTTCGACAGACACCAAAATTGATTAAATTGGATTGATTATAAAGAGATTGACTAAACTAAGACTGAAAATGGATTTTAAAGGACTCTGGTTTTAGAGAGCAAACTCTGATCACGAGAAACAGGCGAAGGCTGGCATGTCTTAATATAAAAAAAATTTGTGTATACAATCTTTATATACACATGCCATTTAAATTCTACAATTTATTTTCTTATTTTACGCTAATTTCTAATTGTAACTAATTATAACTTGCTTTTTCGTTGCAACATATCCAAAATTAATGGCGTAAAATATGTTATGATACAATCAGCGCCCGCTCTTCTCATAGAAAGCAATATCTCGTTGAGTACATTCTCTAAGTTGATTGCACCATTTTCTGCACCATAATACAACATAGCGTATTCTCCTGATACTTGATATACAAATAAAGGATATTCTGGATGCACATCCTTTGTATGTCGTACCACATCCAAATAAGGCAATCCTGGTTTCACCATCAGCATATCCGCCCCTTCATTCACGTCTCTTGCCTTTAGAAAAATAAAAATAAATATTCTGTATGTTATACATAATATATTTGCATATGTATTTGCATATAACATTATACATATGATATTTAAAATTTTAAAGAATAACGATTATAGTTATTTTTATAATGTAGGACACAAGAGAGAATAAAATTTATCAAATTTGAATGTTAGACTTTGACATTTTATCTTTCATTCAATATCCTTCAATATAATTGCAAAAATGTAACACAAGTATTCGACTTGTAGTTCTGTATTGTTATTATCTTGTATAAGTATTATTATAAATAAGAATATTAAAAACTTACAGCAGCTCTGGCTGCCAACCCATTGCTTCCAGGAGGAAACTGGTAACACTTGCGATCGCCGAACTTTGGTACAGATTGCAATGCGTCCCGGAAAGGACCGTAAAGTCCTGATGCAAATTTTACAGCATATGATAAAACTGCTACTTTATTAGAAAATCCAGCGGCAGCTAGACCTTGCTTTATTGCACCAATTCTACCATCCATCATATCAGATGGTGCAACAATTTGCGCGCCTATAATTGTATCATTAACAGTTATGAAACATAATTACATAATTATGTTAGGAATAATTTTCAACGACACATAATTTCTTACCAGCTTTTGCATATGATACAGCAATTTCAGCAATCCGTTGGATACTATTTGCATTATTTATGCTACCATCACTGTTGAGAATACCACAATGTCCATGATTTGTATATGGACATAAACAAACATCACATGCTATTAATAGATTAGGAAACTTTTCTCGCAATAATGGTAGAGCCTGAATAATAGGATTCCTTGCACTATCGGCATTGCTTCCAATCTCGTCCTAAAATCAAAAGCTCTCTAATTAAAATTTATCTCTAATTAATTTATCTCTCTAATTAAAACTCTTTTTTATTATACATCTTCCCTAATTAAATATTTATTAATATTATATAAATATTAATATTATATAAATATTATATAAATATTAATAATTGAATTAAAGTTATAATAAAATATTAAATTATAAAATTATTTAACTTCTATATTTTGTAGTTTAAAAAAAATACAATATGCTTTATAAATGTTACCTTTCCAAGATAGTGTGTTACACCAAATAATAAAACAGACTGTAAACCTTTTGCAACCAAAGGCTCTAAAATCTTTTCTAATTGATTAATTCCATAGCGATATACACCAGGCATGTTATTAATAGGTTCTTTAGCATTTTCTGCATCTCTGCAATTATATATACAAAAGTTTTATTTGTATATATTGTATCAAGTATAATATATGTATTACATATATAGGATTAATGTACATTAAGTACTCCAAAAGATTTTAAGGGATGATTCTTCATACAAATTTAAAATGAAAATTTTATATGACCATACATTCAAGAAATAGCTTTCAAAGATATAGTTTTAAAGATACAGGTTGTCAAAGTTGAAGAAAAAATTTTGTTTTTTCTAAAAATATCGAAAAACACTTGGATAAAACTTTGTTTAGTTTAGTATTATCACCAAAATAACCACAACGGTTTTAGAAACTTTTAGAAAAATATTCCTTCAATTTCGACATTCTGTATTTTTAAACTAAACAGTTTCAAACATCTGAAGTTTTTGTCCTAAATTTATGCGAGAAATCATTCTTTAAAATCTTACAGTACTTAGTATCCACCATGTATTTGGATTAACAAATCTATATGTTTACACATACAGATCATATTTGTAGATTGTCTATAAATTTAATTAAAAAAACATGTATGTTTATATACATATCATATATACAGTTATCACATATGCTACTTACGAAACAAATATTGGATACATGAGATTATTAACAGTGATCTCAACATTTGGTGACTGTAATTCTCGTAGGACAGGATGAAAAATTCCACTGTGAAGAATGTGCTTAGTCAGAACTGTTGTCATCTTTATTGTGTTCTAATTTGTTGTTTGCTACAGTAAATGTCCACAGTAATTCTTCTTGTGTGTGTGTGTGCAGATATACACTAACCACTTGATTTTATCAATCTGATATCTGGATGACCAATTGAACCTACACATATTCGAAATAAATAATATGACTTATTAAAAGCAATGCAAATGCATGGATAAGTACAGATAATTACATAAAATAAGACAGTTACAAAAAATAATTTAGCTATGCAATAAAATTCCTCTCGTGCATTAGAAGAGAAATCTCTTTAATATCTATTTTTATCAATATAGATTAGCTTTAATCTCGGTTTAACTTATAACGTTTTATCTTTTTCTAATGCCTGTTTCTATAAATGTAGATTAATTTTAATTTTGGTTCAATTTACTGTTCATCTTTCTCTAATTTTTAGAACCAGAAAAAGACGAAAAGTTATTTAAACCACAATTAAAATTAACCTACATTGGTAAAAAAGGCATAATTCTAGAAAAAAATCAAGTGTAAGTTAAATCAAAATTAAATTGAGTTTTCTACATTGGTAGAAAAGGACATAAAATTGGCAAATAATTGAGAACGTGATTGTACCAAGTTCTTTACGAATAACGTGTAATTAATACAAGAAACTGTTATCAGATTCACAGAGTTGATGATTCGTGAGAATAGAAAGTTTTTGCAATACAGATAACGGTGAACGCTAAAGTCATGTTATCCTTTTCTTGATTAGTTGTTAAGAAGAAGATAACCTGACCTTAGCGTTCACCGTATCTGGATAAACGGTATTGCAAAAACTCACTAATAATACATAATGAGCATTGAGCATGACACACTGAAAATATAGCCTCGTGCCACGCAAACGTGACGTAACAGGGTTAACATGCAGAATGTAAAGCTGGAAACACAATAGACACAGGCAATAGGCACAAGCAACAGGGAATAACGAGCCGTCCAATCAGAGCTCTGGAGTATAAGTTCGATATTATATCCCAGAGCTGTGATTGGACGGCTCGTTATTCCCTGTTGCCTGTGCCCATTGCCTGTGTCTATTGTGTTTAAGACTTAATTAGAGTAATAATATAAATATATTTCTCATTGGCTGCGTTCAGCAGAACGTTTGTTTTGCAACTGTTGGAAGTTTCCTTCGCGCTAATTGGATCATACTTTTAGATCTAGAAGAATGGTCCTATCTCAGCAGACAATCATAAAACGGTTGCAAAACTGTTGAGTCTGCTGAACGTAGCCATTCATTTGCCCGTATTTATAGTAAGGCCTTATATTTAAGGCTTTCTTAAATTTATCTTCAGATACTCTACGAATTATTTCATTGGCTACTAAGCATCTAAAGATAAATTTAAGGAAGCCTTAAGTATAAGGTCTGACTATGAATATCAATGAATATGGGCATACGAATACGGTCAACAATGTCCGTATTCATAGTAGGGCCTTATATTTAAGGCTTCCTTAAATTTATCTTCAGATACTCTACGAATTATTTCATTGGCTACTGAGCATCTAAAGATAAATTTAAGAAAGCCTTAAGTATAAGGTCTGACTATGAATACGGGCATAATACACACCAGTAATTTTTATTGCAAAATAAATGTGTCGTATGTCAAGAAAATAATTATTATTCATTACTTTTACAATTGAGAGCAGCGAATTCGAAATTTTCCATGAGATTTTAAGTAAATATCATATCATTTGAAAAACTGAATACTGTGATTGTTACCAATTAGAACAAGGAAATATTTGTCCAAATCCTATCTCGGTGCTCCTTCGGTTTCAATCCAATCAAGGCAAATCAGTGTGATACGAGCTTGAAAACCACGAATGCTTCGACTGCCACAAAAGCGATCAGTGTTGCCAACTCTCGAAAAAAAAGAAAAGCTAGACGACATTTCAGAAATAACTAAATAATTGCTAGATTTTAAAAATTAAGGAAAATAACTAAATAATCGCTAGATTTTAAAAATTAAGGAAAATTAGAAATACTAATTTATTTGAGAGAAAAAGTTTTTATAATTGCACATGAGCACAGATATTATTATAAAATAAACAAAGTAACATGTTATATATTATCGTAATGAGTAACATATAGGAACATATATAATATAATAGAATATGATGTAATCAAAACATCGATTAAATTAAATTAAGTAAAATATTTGTGAAATACTAATGCTCGTATTCATAGTCAGACCTTGTACTTAAGGCTTCCTTAAATTTATCTTTAGATGCTCAATGAAATAATTCGTAGAGTATCTGAAGATAAATTTAAGGAAGCCTTAAATATAAGACTCGACTATGAATACGGGCATATGAATACGGGCATAAATCTAGCCAGAAAATAGCTAAGTTGGCAACACTGAAAGCGACACGGCGCATGCCCCAACCTAACCCTAACTTTGTCTTCTCGATCTAACCCTAATCTGACCTAACCTAATCTAGACGACGACGGGACCAGACCACCAGACGTGGTGATTTTTTACAGTCTCCTTTATGTCAAAGACGCGTGATACTCCGTGAACGATAGCGGCGCCGGAACAGCTGTCCACACACACCGTTGATCGTTCTCGGCTGCCTGCTGCCGTCAGCGTAGGTTCTGTAAAGTTTCCCCCGAGAACGGCGTGGTAAGATCGAATAGCGATGACGGACGCATCGAATTTACCGGGTGCCTCGACGGGCCAGAGGGCGATGTCAAGGATGCTGCGGCAGCGGGCCCAGGAGTTTCTCGCCTCGCGGAAGCATGCGAACAACCTGTTGGAGATAATCAGCCACTGGGACGTAAGTAAAATTGCGCCGACACTCGGTTTGCGCGTTTCCTGGTGCCTGAATTTAGGAAATGAACGAACTTAAAATTAGGAACGTCCGAAAAGCTCTATTTTCATCCGTAGGAAGCTACTTCTTCGTGCCTGCTCACGATAGAAACGATATTCGTTGAAGTGTTGAAGCGCGGCGATATGTATATGGAGCGTACGATAGCCCTTACTATTTCGGGTAAGATTGAACGACTACATAGCTTTATTTTTTATGTTGGCTGTAGATGGATAAGGATAGATAGGAATATTTAAAATTTTTATATTCTTATATTATACATTTTTATATTCTAATTAATATTCTTTTTACCTGAACTTCTTGCACTGTTTATCTTTTTTCTTTCTCTCTCCAATGTGAACAGAAAAGGAGGAAAGAGATGAAGTGCAAAAAATTTAACTAAAAAAAGAAAACAGGTTTTAAGTTTGTAGCTGAACTTCTTGGACTTTTAATTTTTCTCCTTGATGTCTAATTGTTTCTATTTTATTTTAAGAAAGTATAATACTGTAGCTACAAAAAATAAACTTATGCTATACATTTTGTATTATATGCAAAAGATTTCTACAAACTATATGTTCCAGGATTTCTATTTTAATATTGTACATTATATTGTATATGAAATAGAACCTAGTCCAGAATCTCGCTATACCACTTGGCTAAGAAATTGCTACGAGGAAGTTTGGAAGAAAGTACTAGCATCTATGGAGAAGAGTCGATTGGTTATTCAATTGCAAGCCCTTACCACTGCAATGAAGCTAATGGCTGAAGAGGGTCAAGCTCTGATGGAGCCGCGTGATAATCCAGGATATCACTTTCCTCTACACCGTTTAAAACCTATCCTCATGATTCTACTGTCTCCTGAAAAGGACAATACTAATTTAATATCGAGATTCCAAGAGATCACCAGCTGTCCTGACGTTTTGTATTATACATGGAGATGTCTACCTTCTCTTACCCCTAAAAGACAACCGAAGGAAGTTTATATAAAGAATCTTTTGGAACTTATAGACAAAATACCACTGCCAAAAGAAGAAGAAGGTAAATCTTTTTTTTTATTTTGAGCTATTATATAAAATAATCCAATTACACGTTCTACATAAGTATATTTCTTTAACTGTTTTATTACGCAATATTGCAAACTGTATAAACATATGAAGCATTTAATTAATTGCTAGAAATATTTATAATGCTCAACTCTTTGACTCTTTAAGTTTTTAACTTAAATAGATTCATAGTTTCTTGTTTATTAATTTTATATTTATGATCTTACAAATATAAATACTATAACAATTGATGTTTCAGCATCCAAAGTGTCGGAACATAAGGAACTTTTGTGTGGACCGCAACAAGGTAATATAAGTTATATTAAATACAACATAGGCTGTATTCCATTTCACGCATAATGCATCATTTATCCTTGTTATTCATCGAATGTTGAACAAGGATAAATGATGCATTATGCACATCATGCATGAAACGGAATGTTCTACGTTTCAATTCAAATTTTGATTTCATTAATGTATGTATCTTAAATTTTTTTACCAGATGCTGCATTTACGTGGGATCAATCCAATGTTAAACGCGCATTAAACAAAGTCTGGGCTTGCATTATGCATTGGGAATTAACGCCGCAGTTGCACAAACAGTTGCTAATAGTTTTGTTGGAACGAGTCATGTCGCATTTAGAAAAACCGATATTATTAACCGACTTTTTGATGGATTCCCTAGACGCGGACGGCCCTGTTGGAGTGCTTGCATTGCAAGGCGTATTCATACTTGTCACCAAACACAATTTAGAATATCCAAATATTTTTACCAAGTTGTATTCGATGTTCGAGCCTGAGATCTTCCATACGAAATATAAGGCTCGTCTGTTCTACTTATCCGATCTATTTCTCAGTTCTACGTAAGTATTTTAAAGTTATGGCAGAATCGTATATATCTAGAGTGGCATTATATTTGTGCGTTTTTATCTTACAATAAAGGCTGCAGGACAGAGAAATTCTTGTATCTCTATTCTATAGCCAATCAATAGCCTTAAAAAATTTATCATATGACAAAAACACACAAATGTAATGTACATCCCAAGAATTGAGAAAATTACAGAAATTAAGAATAAAACGAAGAATCGAATATAATTTCACATAAAATTATCTGAAAATTCGACATTACTTTTTTTAGACATCTACCAGAAGCATTAGTAGCAGCATTCGCAAAGCGACTCGCACGTCTAACATTAGTCGCACCACCGGAGGATATTTTGATAATTCTGCTTTTCGTGGGTAATCTGTTACTTCGACATCCAGGATTAAAGAGGCTGATAGATCACCCGCAGGGTGGCGAGGCCCCCTCGAATGCGAGCACCGGAGCCGGCGATCCATTTCTCATGGAAGAGCGAGAGCAACGCATTGCTGAGCAGTCTCTGGGAGATCCGGGCATTGCAGTGGCATATTTTACCCAGCATCGCTAGCGCTGCGCGTTTCATTCGTGAGCCACTGCCCTCGGTTGAGTATGACATGGCATCGGCATTAGAACGCACTGGAGGTCATCTCTTTGAAAGCGAACTGAAGAACAAAGTCAAAGAAATCATGCTGACATTCGAAAGACCAAGCTCTATGGCACTGCCGAAAGGAGAGAAATTATTGCAATATTGGCAGCTCGCTCATTGATCCTGTACACGGCGTGATCGCGACGCCGAGAATGCAATATATCGTGAGAAAAGGATCGTCATTGAAATTCGTTGATGTTGCAGGTGAAAAATAAAGACTTTTTGTGTTTTATATGGCATATTTACAAGAAAAACAATACAGCATATTTTTCTGTGGCGTTGAACATCTATGTTTGAAATATTTCAATAAGTTCGTGCATAATTCATTGATCATGATACAAACAAGAAAAAAATGCACACTCGCTTTTTGTTGTTTATCTATCTCAGTTATATGTAAATTGATAGCTTATGTATCTTGCATAAATTGTGTATAAGTGCGCAACACTGATTAGTATTTTTTAACTCTTTCGCTAAAATAAATTGTTACCATTTTGCAGTTTGTAAGTATGGTAAGAATTTATGAAATTTTAATTCATCACACACGTTCTCTATGTACATGTATATACATACATACACATATATGTATATACAACGTAAAAAAAACACAAATATTAACCTAATATTTCATGTGTTGTACGACAAACTTTTTAAACGTATTGATTGGCTGCAGAACAGAGATCCGAGAATTTCTCTGTCCTGCAGCCAATCGACGGGCTTGAAAAACTTTGTCGTATGACACATGAAATATTGGTCTGTCCGTGATTGCGGTCAAATAATTCTTCTTTCTCGATAATTTTATATATCAATACATAATTTATAAAAAGGAATGTCATTTTTGTGTTATTTAAAAGATAAAACAATTATAATCTATATATTAATGAAAAGTCTCTCACATAATTTTTCATTTTGTAATACGTGTAACTTATTTTATTTTTGACATCAAGGATCTGAATTATAAAGATAACACCTGTACATATTTATAAATACTTATTTCGACAATTATTTGTGGTTAAATAAAACAACATATATATGTATTTACATGAAATTTTATTTTTTAATCGAGATCATTAAGTCGAAGCTGAAATAAACTACATGCTAATTCATTATTTGGCATATATAAAAATAGAATTTATATAGTTTTATATCACTTTTAATTCTTCAATAATGAACTTCTGATCGGTGCAGCGAAAGGGTTGAAGCTACTGATTTTTTCTGATGTTACTAAGCAATGGGGTCGCTAATTGATAAACATTTAATATATATATATACTACAGGTAATTTGCATAATTTGCCAAATAAATTGTGCCAGTTACCATATATAACATTCTCGAATAACGATTTCTTGGATGCAGAAATGAGATAATAAACTGAGATATTTTAATTTAACAAATAACTCGTGATATAGTGCTGTCAATATACAAAACTTTGTATTTATAACATATAGGTAAGCATAATTCAATTGCAGTTTTAATTATAATCTATTTGGGATCTTATATTTATCTTTTTATATAAATGTATTTCTATATATGTATATTATTTTCATCATTAGCCTTCCTTGCATATGTCACAATTCTGTATATTTGCGCCTCATTGCATAACGTCTTATATGTATATATACAAACGCTTTTATGTACATCATTTATGTTAATTGATAAGTTATTACAGTATCATTATGTATGATGTCGCTTTGTGTCTAACACCTGAAAAAATAGCATAATAAAAGATTATTAATTTTGATTTTAATCGAATCATTTATTTAGTAGTAATATATAATGAAACTACTATTTTATGTAATTATCAATCTTTTAAATATTGTACATAGTTTACATGTAACTAAAAACATCAGGATTGAAAGCAAAAACAAATACCATATTCAAGGTAATTACTATATCTTTCTACAGAGCTAAAAAAATGAATTTTTTTCTGTACATAAATATTCTATAAATATTAAAATTAATATTTATAATTCTTCAAAACTTTAAAAACAGAACTATTTAAAACAATTATGAAGCTAATTTACGATAACATCTGATAGTGGAAATTGCTCTTTATATTAAAAAGATTTTTCCTCACAAATGCACTTTTTTGTAGTAAATCTTTTATTTACTACTTTTATTACTCTATTGTATTCATGTAAAAAAATCTTTTAGAACAAAGGATTACAATAAATTCTCACCTGGACTAATAATCGCCATTCATCCTCGTTTAGAGCATGCTTTATCTTCACAAGGACGTTCACTGGGATGTCGGAAGGCACCGAAATTGGTGCAGTATTCGGCATAGAAGGCACATATTGCACCTGCAAGAGTTGTGACACTGTGGGTCTTGCTTTTGGATCGTGCTGAAGACACTTTCGCATCACGTCGATTAGAACAGGCGGCGTGCGTTCACAACTCTGATGATTTTCACTGTTTGTCATAGTAGGGAACGAAATATTCGGTTTCGGATTAGTTATAGCATTCACCTTTGCCCACTGAGAACGTATATGATGGAAGGGAGTATATCCATATACCAAACTATATAATATACAGCCCAATGACCATACGTCTGACTTGAAACTTATCTGTCAGCAAAAAAATATGAAATTTTTTATCCGCTCTGTATTTTTCACAATTTATAAATTTTTTATTTATTCAAACTTCAATATCGAGATATAAACTTTTAATTTAGTTAGTTTGCATTTTTTTAAGTAAGTTCTAATTTTAATTTAATTGAATAATGATTCTAATATATCTAATCATTTTCTCGAAATATTTCTTTGAAATTATAATCATAAAAAACATCTATTTTGGATTATTAATTATTTAATCCTGTCTTACTTTATATTTAACGTTGTGTGTAGGCGAATCCCCGTTTCCACTAATATCCATTAAGGCTTCTGGACTAATGTAATTTAACGTTCCAATCGGATTATTTTTTACAACGGATGTCATATCCGAATTTAGATTGGAAGCAATTCCAAAATCTATTAATTTGAGTCGACCTCGTACTAGTAAAAAATTTCCTGGTTTCAAGTCTGAATGTATGACTCCTAAACACAAAATTGTATTTTGTCACAAAATGAAAAACATTAAACATTGATTATATATCCACAATTAGGCGTATTATTTTTTTACCATTATCATGTATGTGTTTTACAGCTGTGAGCATTTCAGTCCAGTAATAGAGAATCATCGTAAGAGAGATTTGCTTCTCTTGGGACATGGATTTCAAAAGTCGACTGAGATCAGTATCGCCCATTTCCATCAACACATAAACCATAGAGTCTTTGATTTGACTGAAACAATTAAATAAAATTAAAAACTTCGTTAATTTTTAGATTCATTGGATACCATAATAAGAGCTTCCAAAAAATGTTTTCACCGTACGAAATTGTTATCTTTGAATTTGTTATGTTGCAATATGTACTTACTAGTCGAACATTTTGACAACGCAGGGTGCCTGTAACTTACGCAGCATGGAAATCTCATCCAAGCAGCCCTGAGCCGAGTCTTTGTCCATCTTGCTCAAGTCAACGCATTTGATGGCACGTAACTCGCCACAGGATACATCCTGCACTCGCAAAACCTCGCCGCTCATTCCCCGGCCGAGGGAGTCTAGGATCAAGTACTCTTTATCTTTTACGATTAATGTTTTGCCTTGTTGTTGCGGGGGAATGCTCAACGGTACGGTGAACGGTATGTTTGTCATTTTATCTATAATTTGCATCTCCTTGCTTTGTCTCTCGGGAACGGAATAATGCGAATTCTTGCAGTTCGCATTTGGAACGATGTTGTGTTCTCTACTGTACTTCCGAGAATCATGTATTATCTTCATATCCATATTGGAACAAATTATCTGTTTGTTTTTATTTTGATTTTGTACAGTATTTCTATTTCCTAGTATATTAGACTGTTTGTTCTCCTTTACTTCCTCGATAGGTTCCGCCAATTTCAGATCTGAATATAATAACGCATATAATAAAATGCAATCATATAATAATTTAACGTATTCAAATAATAACGTTATTAAATAATTAATTACACGTAATTTGATACATAGCAATGCTTACCTTTGTCATAATTTGTTTCTGTTTGCATTAATTTCACATTCGATAGTCCAATTGTCTTCCTATTTCTATCCTCATGTGTTTGTGATTCAGATGTCATGCTTTTTACCTCAGAATGTGTATGCATAAGTGGCTTTGATTCTACAGGATAAACCAAAGACTCTCTGGGCATCTTCGTATCTGTTAAAGGCCGCCTCACATTTTTTACATCCGTTCCAAAGTATCTAAATAATGAAATTTAAAATTAATATTCTCTGAGAGACTGTTCGAATCTGTATGAAAGAATGACATTTCTTTTCAGACTTAACAAGGAATAAAAACAAGGTCTCAAATAAAAGTCTTATTTTTCATAACAAATTTATCTAATAATCATGAATTTAATATGTTTTGACCATAAAAATAAGAGCAGAACAGTCTTATTGTTAAACAAATAAATTAAACATTGTTTGCTTCTAATACATAAAATTGTAAAATAATATAGCGTATACTATAAACCTCAAAGAATCAGGTTTATCCACGATAGGTGTACAAATTGCATTCTTAGATATTTGCACTTGGTCCCTCGTAAGAAAGTTCTTCCTTTCCATCGGTGTATGTACCACATTATGATACCAATTGGACAATATTGTAGGAGTTTGATTCTTGTTCAGATCTCCAGATAATTTGTTCTGTGGAGTTTGAAACAATTGCTTATGTGATGTGCACGAACTCGGATGCGCATTGACTTGCATATGCTTTAATGGAGTTTCCGAAACCAAGCGATTAATCGTAGTTAACGACTTGCTCGCTTCGCTGAGAGAAGGTGTGCTAAATTCCGTATTTTTTGCGGGTGTATACTTTTCATTCGCTTCATATTTTGTGACACTCTTTTGTGAATTATATCTTACAGCATGCATCAGGTTTTCAGACGTCTGGGATATGCAAATACCAGATTCTGACAGAGTGTTCGTAATCTTCTGAGATTCCTCCTTACTATCCTTATTTGTTTGCTCGATAAAACTGTATGTGGCTTTGTATCGTTGATCATCCTTACTTAGATTCAACTCGCTATTTCTTGTTAATAACATCTTATTCTCCCCTGATGTGCTGTACACAGATCCATCTTTTCTTTTATTTAATATATCTGACATACAAGCATTTTCGTGATGCGACTGATTGCTATTTATTGCTTGCAAATTCTTATTCGAATCTATGTTATAATCCCCTTTATAAACTGACAGCAATGGTGGAGGTAAAACTACATTTGTTGAATGACTACAAACAGTATCTGCTTGATTTCCCGAAGCAACCGTTGTTGCAATGCGACATTCCTGTAGTTTTTCTTCGTGTTTAGAACTGCAAGTCTCTAGTTTACTCGAATCATTAAGTGAAATATGACTTTCAGAATTTATATCACTAACTTTACATTGTTCCCTATCAAAGTTTAGTCCTTTTTGTATAGAAGTGTTAGTCACAACTTCAAGATTCTCTTTTAACAGTACACATGTAGTTTTCAAAGCTCCGTCCGTTGACTCAATTGGTGATGAATTGATGTCTGTTTTAAGTACGGACATTTCCTGTAGGACGCCTTCAGCAGAGTCATCTTGCAGCAAATCCTCGTCGAAATTATCTAACTCATCCTCAGATTGACAAGGTTTCTCCTCGCTCTCATCGTCATCGTCCTCATCGCTTTCACATGCTAGAAGCGCTTTGAGGCGTACTGGCTGAGACTTTGGGAGCATAACATTCTGTGTAAGCAATCTGCCAGCGCTTATGTTATCAAAACTGCATCTGTCGTTTGTCGTAAGATCCGACATTATTAGAAATTTTTGAAATAATCTTCACTAATCTCTATAAGAAAAAAACAATATAATTGAACATATATATCAATGTATTATAATTAATTACAGAGTTACTTTATAAAAAAACAACAGACTTATGACAAATGAAACATTAGAAATTACTACTAGTTGCAATAATTGTGAATTTTGTTTTAATATATTTGCGTAGAAAAAAGAAATATTAAAAAACTTTGGCACATAAAGCCATGTAGACTTAATAAAATATTAATAGAAATTACAAGATATTGTTCACATTTGTAATTCTTTTATAAACTGATCTTTTTTTCAACTAAAAATAGATGCTTTTATTATTTAATTTATTCAAAATAATATTAATTATAACAATATTATATGTAAAGAATATTACGCATTTTTTAATATTGATGTATTATTTTAGCTATTATAAATCTCTTCTTCGAATGTATATAGTAAAATAATTTTTAAAAATTATCACATTCTATTAAAGAATTACAAAATTCCGAAGTTTAATAAATATCTTTTTATGATAGAGCTATATTAAAAATAAAGTCACACGTTAAGTTTTTATGTTTCAAAATTTTATATAAAAAATGTGATATTTTACCCAAAAGATTCTTTAACTAATATACTAAATAATGATCAATATGACACAGAAACAGGTTCTTCATAAAATAACATATAAATAATACAATAAATATAGCATAATCTTTATATAAAATCTTGAGACATAAAGACTTAACAAATAACTTTATTTTAATACAACTCTAAAAAGATATCTATAAACTCAAAAATGTTAGAATGAAATTTTTGTGTAACATACAAGTTGAATAAGTTATTATTTTTTATTATATGGAGCAAACATGTCTCAAATAAGGCTTAAATAATAGATTTATATAGCAAATATAATATAAAATAAATGTGTTAACATATAATATATATTAAATTTTACATAATAGATTTATATAATATGAAATATAAAAATTAATATGTACTTTTTTCTATATAGCTACTTGTTTACATTGTAAAGTAATGATTGTTTATAAAAAATAATCCATATACACAGTATAGAAACACATAAATCATATCATTCATATTAACATTAATTTCATAATAAATTAACATTAATTTCATATTCCACGGCAATATAATTAAATTCTTACTGTTACGAATTTCTACTTGGCAAATTTTTCAAAAATTATTTATTATTTTTATAAAATAATTTGTTATATAATATATATAATATATATATTATAGGATAATATATATACTATATATTATAGGAGCTAAACAAGAAATTGCTTGTATTGCCTTGATTAGGCAGACGTTATTGCACAAACAACAAATTTATGATTGTCATTATGAAAAGCTTAGTATAAATAGGAGTTAATTTTTTATTACTTTTCTTTTCCTCTCTCTTTCTCTCTTTCTGCAAAATGGATTTCCAGCCAGCCTAATTTTCATAAAGCCTGCGGCACACGATGCTTGTTTTCCTACTGGATTCCTAGCTGGATTAGAATCTTGCCATCGTATTGGCTGCGATACTGACAGTGTCAGCATCGTAGCCAATACGGTGGCAAGAATTTATTCTAGCTAACAATCTAACAAGAAAACAAGCATCGTGTGCCGCCAGCTTTAACTTCCTCAAAGTAAACAGTTACCTGAAGAGGCGATCTCACGTGTGTGTGCTAGGAATTCATCGAGAAATCGACGAATCAAAACTATTCTACAGTGGTTAGTCTCGCGATCAAAGCATACAAACCAGAGAGAATTCGGAGGATACCTTAGTTGCGAGTGGACGAGACACGCACCTGTCAAACTGAGCAGTCTCTATAGATCCGAATCATCGATCGACAGGAGATACACTATGCACGCACATCACGAGTCCATCTACACCCGTTTACACGTTATTCGAGGATGTTATTTACATCCTGTTACATTCGTACGATGGTCTCTAGATCTCTACCTACGTACGCCACATGACATCGTTACTCCGTGCATAGTTTCCAAATTTGAACGTCCTGTTGATGCCTGTCGACTCTACCGGTCGGCCGCGTCACGTATGGCGTTTGAATTCGTCAGCGCGGTGTTCATTGGTCGATGTCTAGGGACAATTAGCGGCAAGATGTGATACGAATATTTTAGGGAAAAATTCCTCCGCCTTTGGCGGGACATTTGAATGTAGAATCTGGCATGCTCTCGTATTATCTTTATACACATATAAAAATTAATTTATATTTTATGAAATACATTATAATAATATTGATATATTACTAGAATATTTTTCATTATATTATGTATATTATTTATACAGGGTGTCCCGTAAAGACCCAAACAACAAAAGGGAGATTCCTGAGATTATTTTGAGACGAAAATCCTAATACGAAAACGTCGAGGCTACAATAATTTTTTGAATTATAAGCTAACCTTAAATGCTTACAAGTAAAAAATCATTTTACTTTTATGACCTCTATTATTATTTCTGGATTCTTTTGAACATTCCAAGATGAAAATCCTAATACGAAAATATCGAGGCTATAATAGTTTTCAAATTATACACTATCTTTAACCAATTATAATTCAAAAGTTATTATAGTCTCAATATTTTGGTTACAATTTTCTTAAAATGATCTCAGGAATCTCCCCTTAAGCGTTGTTCGGGTCTTTACAGGACACCCTGTATATTGTATGTAATTTGATTATATATAAATATTATTTATACTTAAATAAGAGTATTAAATTACATATGTAAGTGATAAATGTTTTTAATAATAGAGTAATTAATAAAATAAGCTCAAATTAAATTTACATATCGAATTATTCACGCATTTTTTTTATAAAGAAATTAATTAGTCGGTCTTTTAAGATTTGATAATAGCAAATTTATTTGATTTTTAATTTCAACATAAAATCTTTCATAGTGCAAGTTCGACCACAACTGATTCGCTGATCGATTGATATTTAGGGAATTTTTGGACGAGAAACTTGTATTCTTATTGCTAACGCATTGAAAATATACTTTTGTTTAAAACTTACGCAGAACAGAATATAATCAACAAAAAATCAGTGATACGTGAATCGCTCGATCACAGTTGAGACGTTAACATTAATCTTATAAAAATTAACTATATTTGTATATGTGATATATAGATTGCGGACAAATGTACCAATCTAATAATTTATATGTAAATGCAATTGACATATGGTAATAGTAATTAAATGACATATTTATACAAACCTATTTTCAAATGAATTTTTTTGTATAAAAGAAAAAAACGTGTAAATAAGTAATATTTTAATTTAAAGTGGAAAATACAATACAACAGTTTTCCTTAACACCAACCGATTTAGAAATAGAAAATCTATTTGACTCAATCTCATCGTTCCACAAACGATTGTACTTAATACAAAAATGAAGAAAATGCTAGTAATAGCTTTCCTGCTGTATGTTAAAAATGGCGTACATAGAATTTTATCTCCTAATTGCGAAATTGTCCTCCCACCGATGCTAAATGTCCATAAAAATGTCTCGGGAACTGTGATAGAAACAGAAACAGTCAGCTTAGTCCTCTTCTCTCTCATTGGAAAATGCAGTCTTCGTTTCTGAAGTTTCTCTTCCTCTGAAATATTGTCTCGCGCTTAACAGTTTTTGTTGTAAATTGTATCCACTACTTACGCAATTGTTAATAATAATAAATCGTTTCTGTCACAGTTCGCGTACAAATTACTCGGCGATTAAATTAAGTTATACTTAATAGCTATTCTCTCCTTTATACATTATCTCTCGTCTTGAAAAGAACCAATGTAAACCCGGTACTATTCGCTTCTCAACTTTTCCAGGAAGTCCGCTCCTGCATATGTTTAGGAACTACTTGGCAGCAAATATGATGACACAAGCGATTCGTACAAAACGGGTATGTGTTCTATTTATAATCATCATCTCTCTTCTTATTTATGATCTAGTAATTATTCTAAGCGTGTTTTCCTTCTCCTTCCCTCTATTTTTTAATGAATAATGCTCAAAGTTTCTATACAAACATATTGGTTCTTCACGAAAATGACTGTTGCTACAATTTAAATTAACATGACAATGATTCACACGACGGAACTAAACGCTCGCTCTTCTCTCACTTTTTCTTTCTTTCTCTTTCTCTCTCTCTCTCCCCCTCCCTCCCTCTCTTTTTCTCTTTTCCTCGTTTTCTCTTCTCTTCGTACAATGTCAAAAATTTAAGAGCGAGCGGCTTTGTAGAACGTATTCTTCCTCGCGCGACAACATTGAGGAAACAGAGATATAAAAAATATTTTATTTAAATCTTTAAGGACGAAATTAGGAATTGCGAGTAATGAAAGGAAGTATTCTAGGCTACTCCGAAGATAATTTTAACGTTTCCCGTTATTATAATTGAGAGCTCGTAATGGTGCTTTGAATGTGGACGCAGATTGTTGCTGGATCTGATATGCTACAGGATGAATTTTAAAACCGTATAATCTGAAAAATAAAAACTATCTTTTAATTTTATATTCTATATACGCGAAAAATTTAGTCTCACATATTTAGAATGAATATGTGCTACATATACTTAAATAAATGCAATAAGATATGTTGCATATATTGGCAAAAAAAGATTAAAGTTGATCATCAGCCAATCATATCTCTATCTTTTATATTTAATGATTATTTTATATTTTATTCATATAGACGATAATGAACCTTTGGAAGTGAGTCATTAGGATAATATTGAACAGATAATATCAAGAAAAATAGATGAATCTAATCATTCAAGATTGATAGAATCTACAGAAAAATTTTAGAATCTATCAGTATTCATATACAATAATACTTTTTCCCTTTAGTAAAAGTGAATTATTTATATATTTGAATAATCTATTTATTACATAAATATAATTTTATTTTATTTATATAATGTAATCATAGAATAACGAAATTCTAGTTTAAAATATTCATAACCGAAAACAGTATTTTGAACTTTAATCTCTTTTGCCATGCAATTAATTATTCTATT